CTGTTGGTAGTACGGACAGAAGTTGAAAAGACACACAGAAAGCAGAAAGCACCAGGTAGCAGATGCCATTAGTGAGCGGAAACCAAGAGACAAAGAAAAGAAAACAGGGAGTTGGATGTGGCAGGAGTAGTAAAAACAGACCGAGAGTAGCTGCATCACTTTAAACTTGCAGAGCATTAGAGTCAGGCCGAGAGGCAGGCAGGCACATAGGCTAACCCAAACTGCATTATATTCTAAAGTGGCTTTGAGTTCTTCGATGACGGTCTGGCCCCTGAAGCGCAGCTGTGCAGCTGTTAAGTGTTCCCTTTCTCACATTCTACATCCCTAGAAGACACCATCTTCGTATCCCCACCCCCAGTCTCCCCGTTAACTAAGGTAAGTGGGTCCCTGTTCTCAAAACTTACAACTTTCTACTTCTGTTTACTTATTTTGTTTTTGGCTTTTCCACTTAAAATTTTACAATATACTCATTTTCCCATGCCATTTTGGATTCCTCAGAAGCATGATGTAGTGTGGCTACATAATAGTGCGTTTTCCAGAAGTTCTTTATTTTTGCCAGATCAGTTCTCTATCTTTGAATGTTTGTATTTCCTCCAATTTTCCTTGAGTATGAATGTCACAGTGGTGAACCTCCTTGTATGTAAAGTTGAGCCCACATCAGCTTTTCCTTAGATTAAATCCCTAGAAGTGGAGTTTTGGGTCAAAGGGCGGGCCTATTTTTATGAATCTTTCTACATATCGCCAAATGGGCTTCAGAAAGAATATACCTGTTTGTAATCTTGGCAGCAGCATATCAGAATTGCCATTTTACCACAGCAGCCCTTGAGTTCTTTCTCCCATGTGTTCCCATTAGTTGCTCTGAGCCTCAGGAATTCTTGCTGGCTCCTCTCTGAGTCTTTGTTAGGGTCTATCCTCGTTCTCATCTCATCTCCAACATTTGTAATTGGTACCCAGGCGTCCAAAGCTACCCCTTCCATCTCGAGACTAAGAAGGCTCCATTTGGGAAGAACATTAATGGCCCTTGCTAGACTAGCCAGTGGAGGTCTGGAATGATCTTTGGCTTACTGGCTGAAACATGAGAGGCAGGGGCTTCAGGGGTTTTGGGAAGTGATTCTCCCTAATGTCCCTCTGTAGTTCCTCCCACTTGCTTCCCATGGGCTTTTGAGTTCATTCAAGGGAGTCCCATCCTGTACCCCACCAACAAGCTGGGATCTACTCCTCCTACATTACGTTTGGCCTGTCCAATTTCCTGGGGCTGGGCCACTCACTCTTTTCTACCTCTATTGGATAGACTTCCCTCGAAGCTTTAGCTTTACATCTCACAATCCTCCATCCCTAATCCTCTATTCTCCCCCTCCATACTCCTGATCTCAGCCAGGAGCCTGTGAGGCCATTCCCTTAAGCTGCCCTGTGTTAGCTGTCCCTTTGACTTCGACTTCTAGGAAGTAGGGCAATATTTTCTATACTCTCTTGGCCTCTTATTGCCATCATCTTCTCTGGATTGCCACCTCTGCCCTACTTTTGCCCTTGACTCTGGCAAATTTCTATCACTTTGGCTCCAGGCTTCTTCTCTGTTTCCAGCAAGCTCTGGCCCTTGCACTGCAAGTCTAGTGAGAAAGTGACACTTCAAGGCCTTGCTCCAGGATATTAAGGGAGTGTACTAAATGTGCACCGAAGGGCTGTGGCAGTTGGCCAGTTTCATCTTAATAATCCTTATTTCGCTCCCCAGGCTTATCCCCTCCCTGTTCAACTTCCATGTGGTCCTTCCTGCCTCCCATTTGTTAAAGGTCTGTCTCTGGCATCAGCATCTTGGTTAACCCTCCCTCTGGCCCCTGGCCCACCATAGGATATCCTTGTTCCCTCCTTGGCTCTCCCCTCCTGCCTTGGCATTGCTGGCCTGGTCTGGCTTCCCCATGGGCTGTATTCACAAGGTGCCTGGGCAGGGCTGACCTGGCATTCCTGAGGGCCCTGCCTTCTTCCTGGCTCTGACCCTGCTCTAGAAGTTATGTAGATGGGCTCTTTTAACCCCTTCAGTTTCCTCCCTAAAAGTTAAGGGCTAATACTTGACCATGGGCAGCTCAGGCTCAGACCAGCTTTTTATAGAAAACCCTTTCCAGGGACAAGGCTTGGAAAGGAATGTGGAAAACAGGGGCAGCCCCTCAGATCTAAAGAAATTCTAACCAACCAACCATCAGCCATTGTCTAGAATGCCCTGATCATCCTCCTGTGGGACAGTCTTACCCAAGTCCACATCATCAGTTACTGGGAGCTACCACAGCACTTTCAGCACACAGCGGGCATCTCCTCTCCTTGCTGTTGCTGCCTGTTCCCAAGTCCTAGTGACTTTCCTTAGACTTGCGGCTGACTGAATTCCACTGCTTCAGGGGTGGAATGGCTGGTGTCCTTAGTAAGTGCAACAAGTCTGGGGCTATTTCACCAGAAGTAATGGGGAACACCTCAACCAAGAGGTTGGGGTGATATCTCTTGGTTTGTGAAACCAAATCCAAATCCATGGGGAGAGTCTGGTCCTCTCTATCCACGCTAGCAACTGTTAAGAGACTTGGCACCGAACCAACAATGTGCATGTAGGGATTTTAGGGAGAATCACTGTTCTTGTTTCTGGCCTATTTTATGAGCCAGCAGGCTCAAGTCATTAAAGAATCCACCTGCCATGTGGGAGACCTGGGTTCGATCCCTGGTTGGGAAGATCCCCTGGAGGAGAGCATGGCAATCCACTCCAGTATTCTTGCCTGGAGAATCCCCATGGACAGAGGAGCCTGGTGGGCTGCAGTCCATGGGGTTGCAAAGAGTTGGACATGACTGAGCAACAAAGCACAGCGCAGGAAAGGCACATGGTGGCATTCTCTCTGATCAAGCTGCTTCTGATGAAAAGAAACCAAAACCTACTGTGTTCAGGCAAATGGAATAAGAGGAGGGGTTGGCCCTTCTAAGGTGAACTAGCAGAGCAGTGGGTTTCACAGGCAAATTGACTGACACATCCAGGGGAGCAAGTCAGCCAGGCTCAAATGCCAAGCTAAAGGGACACTGGTCATTGTCATTCTCCTCCTTCTCCAGCATGCTTATTCCTGGGCTCCCTCCTCTCCATACGGAGACAAGGAACTTCTGAAGCTCATGCTTCTCTAGGAACTTCTCTCCACAGAGGTTATATTCTTTCCTTTCCAAATTATGGTGAGGAATTATCAGAGCTTCAAATAGGATTCTGAGTCTCTCATCCTTTCTGCTAGAGAGGGACTAAATTTTTCTGAATATTGTGCTTACTGTGCCCACCTAAGAGCTAATGATATCTCCTTGCCTCTCTTCTCTTTCCCCTCCACTTTTCTCTCCTCCACACTTCATGGACTGAGTGCCCGTCAGTGCTGCAGACTTTGCTTCTTTTCATCTACATTATGGTGGGGTTCAGGGTATAGACCACGAAGAGAGTCTGGGAGAACCAACTCGTTCCCATAAAATAAATCTGGTTCTAAAGAGGACTCTTGGAGTCAATGGAGTGTCTGCTAGCCATTTAGTTACTAAGTTCATAATAACTTATTCTTAGTATTCATATCCTCCCATGCTGTGGCGTTTCCCATACTAAGCTTTTTGAATCAAACTTTGTGGTTCCAGAGACACATGTACAAATAAACTATTTGTGACAATCAATCATCAGCTCTTGGAGGAAGTGCACTCATCGGCCTCCTTTAGGCTTTACAGCACTGGGCACCCAACGTATGAGGGAACCGAGTCTCATAAATGTGATAGACTTGCCCAAGGTTGCATGAGTTAATGGTAGAACTAGGACAAGAACTCAGATCTTCTGTCTTCAGTCCAGGAAATCTTTCCATTATGCTGTCATGCCTTCCTTAAAACTCCGTTCATCTTTGGCTGACACAACCCTCTCTTGAGTTGAAATTACTTCCATAGCTTAGAAATAGGTCAGTTGCCTGTTTAGCATTTTCTTTCTGGCTTTCTGCAATGGGGTCTCAAAATAAAGCCTGCTAAAGTCTGTGACTGGATCTTAGATCCTGAAAGGCTGTGCTAATAATCCCCAAACTGTAAAGGGTGTTTTGGTGTGTTCTCAGTTACGCTGCAGTTCCACAGCCTCGGCTTCCAACGGCCGTCATGTCACAGGGCTTGAATGTGGATTATGGTTACAATGTACCTTGAGTAACCCTTTCTTAAATTCTTGAAGGAGGTAAAAGTACAGTATGATTATCAAATCCTGGGTACATTTCTTCTTCTTGTGAATATTTAACTCACCTACATTTTATCTCCCATCATAGACACGAATGTAATAGTTAAATGTAGTAGAGAGGCAGTTCAGTGTAAAGCCTGAAATGGTGGATTCTGAAGTCAAACCAATCTGGGATTATATTTTGACATGGCCACTTACTAAATGTGTGACCTTGGGTAAATTATATAATCTCTCCAGGATCTGATTTTCTTCTTCATAAAATAAGTATTATTTGAAATAATTATAAAAATAATCCATGAAAAGGGATTAACCCTGGGTATGGCCAATAGCAAATGTATTCCTTCAAACTACCTCAATTCATGATATAATAAGAGCCTGAAAATTGAAGTTATTAGATGAAACCATTGCATTTCTTTGGCATATTGGCAATGTTAATATTTTTCCTGTTACTTTGTCCCTCTTTCTCCAGCTCGTTTAATTATTTTTACACTGTATAAGCTCCAGTAAAACATAAGCTTCTTCTGACAAACAGAAAAGAATGACTAGTAAATTTCACAAATTATAATTTTGTTTAATACTTTGATTTTTTTAAATTAGTTATGTCTGTCAATTCAGATATTCATTTTGAATATAACATTCAAACTCTCAATTCAATTAAAAATATTTGTATTAAATGGCAAGACCTGTAGGCAACATTTGATATGTTAATTTCAAAAATATCCACTTTACTAATTCCCCTCCTTTCTTTAAATTTTTGGTCAAATCTCACCTTATTAACGGGGCTTACTCTGATCATCCCATTTATTTATTTATTTATTTTATGCTGCATAAAGCTTTATTGTTTCCATTTGGTCCAAGGCTTGAGAGAGGGCTCCAGGATGTTAAAAAGCTGCCTAGTGGCTGCAGAGAGGGGCTTCAGGCAGCCCTGATGTTAGGTGGGTTCTTCAAAGGCCACTGGTCTCCAGAAGTTCCTAGTCGTGCTTGAGGGTGAGCCTCTCGAAGAGATACTCGCCCAACCCAGCCTGGGGACCAGCCAGCCTGCGGAGGTTGGTCTGGTGGTCACCCATCTTCTTGATGAGTTTCACTTCCTCATCTAGGAAGTGGTTCTCCAGGAAATCACAGATGTGGGTGTCTCCGCGGGCAGAAGCCAGGCCATGCAGATCCAACAGGGCTTGATTCAGGTTCTTCTCTACGAGAAGGGCGGCTTCCATAGCGTCCTGGGTTTTACCCCACTCATCTTGAGATGGCTCCTGCACGTCTAGGAAGAGGGCGCGGCCGCCACGCTGGTTTTGCAGTTTCAAGAGACGCTCCGCGCCCTGGCGCTTCTCCTTGGCCAATTCGTGAAAAAAGTGACCCACACCCTCCAGAGCCACATCGTCGCGGTGGAAATAGAAGCCCAGAGAGAGGTAAGTGTAGGAGGCCTGCAGTTGCAGGTTAACCAGGCGGTTGACGGCGGCCTCCGTCTCGGTAGAGTAATTCTGACGAATCTGGGAGCTCATGATTGGTCAGTAATAAGGAGTTAAAAAATGGTGGCTGGTCCCGGTGATCGCGGACAGCTGAGTGGCTGACTCCAGAGGTTGAGACTGGAAAAAAGGTTGGAGGGTAGTCAGAGGCTGGAGCAAGGGGCGTCCCTGGGTCTGTTCCCTCCAAGCACTGTTGAAGCAAGAGACAGATCCGCGGGGCCGCCAAGCACACTTCCCGATCATCCCATTTAATTCTGCAAGCTTTCACCTTCATTCAATCCTGCCACACACACACACACACCTCCCACCAACACACACACTGGCCACCCCGTACCACTTTATCTTGCTCAATTAGTTTTCCACAGCACTTATCATCTAACATACTATTTAATTTAACTATGTTTATTGTATGTTTCCACATGGATAGGGGGTTCCCTCTTTCTCTCTCTCTTCATTAATATGTCCCAAGTGCCTATAACAGTGCCTGGGATATAGTAACTGATCAGCAAATACAGGCAATATCAGTTGAATGTTTGTTAAATAAATATACTGGCATATTTAATTAAAGTTGGTCTACTTAAACTATCAAATGATTATCTTCTATAGTAGAAATAGAGACAAATCCCTGAGTCATTAATTTCTATTTGTCTTTTCATGTGCATGTGCGCTCAGTCATGCCCAACTCATTGAGACCCCATGAACTGTAACCCGCCAGGCTCCTCTGTCCATGGGATTTTCCAGACAAGAATACTGGAGTGGGTTGCCATTTCCTACTCCAGGGGATCTTCCCGAACCAGGGAAGCAGATTCTTGACCACTAGCGCCACCTGGGAAACCCATATAGGTATGCATGGGTGATACGCATAAATGCACACATATCCGCATATGTAAGAAGATAATTTTTGTTGCAGTAACTGTTAAGTCTGTAACAGAGTATATTTGTTTTTTCTTTTTTTATTTTTCTATTTTGAGGCAATGTTTATTTCAAAAAACATAGATATTTCTTCAAATATCCTACAGAGCAATGAATACCCTGGGGTGAAAGTCCAGAAAAAGTTCCTTTGCAAAACTCCCAGAATTGAGTCCAGTTTTGGCCATAATCCAGTCAGACAACTGAATCATTTACCATGTTGGTGTTTGAGTATGGAGCATCATTTTAGAGCAAAGCTCAGAAGGAATCGATTTTTACCTAAATAAATCTGCTTCTTGCTGCTTAGTCCTAGTGGACCAACTTGATTCATTTATTCATGAACATTCATTTAATTAACTTATTCATTCTCACCATTCGTCAGGCATTGTGCTAGCTCCTGGTTATATATGCTGTAATACATGATGAAAGGAGACAATTCATTCCTTTAAAGAATATAATATAAACAAAGTAACGGGCAACTAAAAAGGCAGTTATAATGAAGTATAAGTGTCTCTGTACAGCTGACAACAGGATGCTAAAGGAACACAAAAGGTTAGGATATATTCACAGTCTCTAATAACCCAGATTGCTGCCAAGTTCACCTTTAGACAATCAAAATTTTGAGATTAGATCACCCCTTTTGTCTGCTCTGGAAAGGCAGTTGCTTGTGGCCGGGAATAGAGGGAGCAAACTTTATTATTATCATTATTACTATTACTAGTAATATTACATTTTTAATGATAATGATAATTATGAAGAAAAGGCCGTTTACAGAACAGGAAATAAAATCTTACTATAATTAAAGCAATACAAATTAAAATAATAATTCAATAGATTTCGCCAATTATTGAGTACCTACTGTGTTTCAGGCATGTTAAAGGTGCTGCAGATACCGCAGAGACTAAAGCCTGCAAAGTCATGGCTCTCGAAGAGCTCATATTCTTTGCAGAATAAACAACAAGAGATACAGCAGAGACATAAACAAAGGAACAAATAATAGGTAGATAACTGTAATTAAAGTCACAGCTGAAGCCCAGTTTACAGTGGGTCCGTTGGATCCATGGATCTAAGTAGCGTCATTTCTCTTGTCCTCAAGTGTTTGATTGATGTTGACAAACACGGAAGTTGGAGATAAAGAAAGTCAAGGGGATGAACAGTAATGTTACAGTTCTGCTCCAGCATTTTGTTAACTACCCTGCTTGTCATAATATGGTCTGAAAAAGAGAGCTGGACTTCTCTCAGTACATAATTACCTTGATAACGTCATTCTGATCAGGCAAAAAAAAAAAAAAGCAACAAAGAGAGGTGGTTAGTATGCTGGAGATCTTGTTCAGATACACACACCAGAGGGTGGGAAATAAAACCTACAAAGATTCAGAAATCTGCCACATCAATAAAGTTTTCAGGGTCCAGTGGTCAAGAGTGTGTTAGAATGTGCCTCCAAAGTAAGAAACATTACTGCATCTTACATTCTCTACTACAAAGAAAGAAGCCTTTGCGATTCTGGAAGCAACATATTCTCCACCTAGAAATATTGTGCCAGGCCATACACTGGTGTCACAAAAGATTGCCAGCTTTGAATGTAAAGGGGCTCTGCAGTAGGTCCACTGCAAGCAGCTTGGCCGCTTGGGCCGTCCACTCCAGCAAATCCATGCTGGTCAAGTTGTCAGTGGTGAAAAACGGAGTTTATGGTTAAGTCCCAGTGGGAGAATCACAGTGCAGACCCCTGGAGTTCTGGAGATGGCCATGCCATCTGCAGCCACACATTATACACCTTTTTAAAATTGAAAAAATAGTTCTTGATATGTTGCTGAGCCCTGGTGGACAGAACGCTTGACCCTGGGACACCAGGTACCAGAACTATCCATGAGTTGGGTTATTTGATGTTGCTGTTGTTCAGTCACTCAGTTGTGTCCGACTCTTTGTGACCTGATGGACTGCAGCATGCCAGGCTTCCCTGTCCCTTCATCACCTCCCAGAGCTTGCTCAAACTCATGTCCATTGAGTCAGTGATGCCATCCAACCAATTCGTCCTCTGTCATTCTCTTTCCTCCTGCCTTCACTCTTTCCCAGCATCAGGGGCTTTTCTGAGTCTGTTCTTTGCATCAGGTGGCCAAATTATTGGAGCTTCAGCTTCAGCATTAGTTCTTCCAATGAATATTCAGGACTGATTTCCTTTCAGATTGACTGATTGGATCTTCTTGCAGTCCAAAGGACTCTCAAGAGTCTTCTCCAACCCCACAGTTCAAAAGCATCAATTTTTCAACGTTCAGCCTTCTTTATGATCTAACTCTCACATTCATACATGACTACTGGAAAAACCATAGCTTTGACTATACCGATTTTATGACTTGGGGCCCACCAAGTCACAAAGTCAGATAAACCTGGGAATAGTCCATTAAAAGAAAGGGCTGGTGCATCCAGGATTAAAGCCAAGCAGCCCCATAAGATACCAGTAAGCTTCCTGAGCAGATAGTCCAGAGTCCCCTGTTGCCAACCACAGTTATACTAGCATCTCTTCCTCCAGGTGCCCCTACCTATGCCTTAAGAGGGGAGGGGGGGTCCCTCTATGACTAGCTTAAGTAGAGGGGGAATCTTGAGCTTGAGTTATGGATGAGTTCCCTTTGCTTATGTAAGCAAGCTGAAAATGGGCAGCAACTACATTACAGCCACCCTCAGGAACACACTTGAAAGAGAATGAAGAAAGAAAATCTTTCCAATAGGCAGAGTTGCAAACAACACACCTGAATTGTCTACTTTGTGAAGAAGAAGAAATGGCCCAAGATAAGAAAGTATATTTGTTATCTATTGCTACATTATAAATTACTTTAAAACTTAGCAACTTAAAACATCTCTCTCACAGTTTTGTGGGTTAGAAATGGGATGTGCTTTGGCTGGATCCTCTGCCTTAGGGTCTCCCACATGGTGCCAACCAACATTTCAGCCAAGCTGGAGTCTCTCCCAACTCGACTGAGGAAGGACCTACAACCAAGATCATGCACGTGGTTGTTCAGAGGACTCAGGTTCTCACAGGGTGTTAGACAGAGGGCCTTGGGTCCTGGTCACCTGTCGGCTAGAAGGTTCCCTCAATTCCTTGCCACATGGGCCTCTCTGAAAGATAACTAACAACACGGCAGCTGGCTTCTCTAAGGGTGAGCAAGTAAGAGAAGGCTAGCAATATGGAAACCAGCATTTTTGAAATTCATCTTAGAAATGACACCACATTTTTGCTGTGTTCTGTTTGTTAAAAGCAAGTCACTATGTCCTGGTGGTGGTGATTTAGTCACTAAGTCATGTCCAACTTTTGCAATCCCATGGACTGTAGCCCACCAGGCTCCTCTGTCCATGGGATTTCCCAGGCAAGAATACTGGAGTGGGTTGCCATTTCCTTCTCCGTGGGATCTTCCTGACCCAAGGATCGAGCCCAGGTCTTCTGTACTGCAGGCAGATTCTTTACTGACTGAGCTACCAGGGGAGCCCCTCCACCCCCACCCCCCCGCAGCATGTTCTACCCACACTCAAAAAGAAGGAGAGTATATAAGGGCATGAATACCATAGGTGGAGATCATCAGGAGCCTTCTTAGAAATTGCTTTCCACAATAGATTCCTGGACAACTACCTATTAGAGAATTAGAATGGCTTACTGAAGATGTAGTGGAGTGCCAATTTGGTGTCAATACCCTACAGTGGGAGTGCCATTCTTCAGGAACAGTAGCTTTTAGAGACCTCTTTATGAGATTATATCCCCTCTACAAAGAATACAAAGAGTAGAAGCAGGCACAGTCTCACTAACCATTACTCCCAAGGACTCATCCTAGTAATTCTAGGCTCTGTAGGGTTAGAAGTACTGGTCCTTAAAGGAAATGCCCTCTTGCCAGGGAACAGAGCAAAGAGTCCCATTGAATTTCAAGGTATAGATCCCACCTGGGCACTTTGAAACCCTTATAGCTGGAGACCAACAGACAAAAAGTAAAATCAGGAATAATTGACCCTGATCAGCAAGAAGATATGGCTGCTTTTTCACAATGAGGGCAGGGATGAACAGATATAGAACTAAGATTATGCACTTGGGCACCTCTTGGTAATCTGTTACCTGATTATAACTGCGAACAGTCACATAGAGCAGCCCTGGCACAGGAAGAATATGAACACCCCTCAAGGATGGGGATTTGGATCCAACCAATGCGAGAGCCATCAGTACCTGCCAATGTGAAGGCTGAGGATGAGGGAGATGCAGAATGGATAGTAGAAATGGCAAAGGATGGGTACCAGTTTTGACTCTAAGACTGACTGCAGAGATGTGACTACAGTTTGTCCCACTAGCCTCTTCTTCTAAGTTTTTCCTCAGGAAGAGAGGACTATGGGAACCATGGTGGAGCTATTCTTTGACCTTGTGTGGAGAAGTGTGTCTGTGAGGCATGAGGGGTGACTATGGTGACCATGGAATTCGGTGGCTCAGATCTTTTTTAAGAGAACCAGGTTCTAGGAGGGTAGTGCAGACTCCAGCCTTTGGAAGCACTCCAGTGTTCACTCTGAGGCCACAGTCCCCCACCAGTGACTGAGATGACAGGGTACTGGAGCTGGGCTCTTTCTGCCTAACATGAGACTCCTCCGAGGAACCGTCTTAGCTCTTGAGCTCTCCACTGACCTGGCTGAGGCTTCCTCAGAGTTGTGTTGCGGTTGGAGGTTCCTTCCACCCAATTCTCCTTCTTCTTTTCTCCTTTCACCTATGTTAGACCTACATCCTACATCCTAGTCTGAAGGCTCTTCCTGCCTATTCCTTCTTTCTTGCCCCTTGTATCCTTCGTGGGCTTTGCCTTCAGGAGATCATGAACATGTCTAATTCCCTCTCAGTAACTGTTTCTTCTATGTCCTCACCAGGACTGACACAAAGCAGTGATTTTATCGCTTGGTGTGAAAGTCACTCAGTCGTGTCCGACTCTTTGAGACCCCATGGAATTCTCCAAGCCAGAATACTGGAGTAGGTAGCCTTTCCCTTCTCCAGAGGATCTTCCCAACCCAGGAGTTGAACCCGGGTCTCCCGCATTGCAGGCGGATTCTTTACCAGCTGAGCCACAAAGAAAACCTTTATCACTTCGGGTTCTGGATAAAATTCTAAAAAATAAGTTTCTTAATCTAGACAAGTTTTAATCCAATGTGTGAGTATCCCAAATACAAGTCCAACTTTCAGAGCTTAGATTTGTACATTAACAAAAACTGTAAAATTCCTATTGCTGTGGGAATTAGGACACAGTGCCCAAGCAGGTAACTCCTCAGACAGGTAGATGACTGGAGTCAAGAGAGGAGTGTCCAGCTATTGTCAGTTCCTGTAGAGCAGAGTCTTGGTCAATGCCAAGACTTTGGAAATCTTGAATGCTAACTGAAAAACTGAAATTCCATTCAAGCTTCATGATCAGAAAGAGAAACTAATAAATAAGTTGTTGGTTGAGTCAGAGAGCTGTCCTCCTTTGCATGAGCTATAATCCACTCTGCAGGACATCTGTCTGATTAAAGGACTTAAGTAATTTATTTTAACAAGAGTGGTCAGCAGGTTTTCCAGCAGTGATGGTTACAAGTTAAATAAAAGATGCCTTTGGGGATTCTTGGCTTGGTCTTTTTTTTTTTTTTTTTTTGGCTTGGTCTTTTATTTATCATTCTTGCAAACATTTCTTGCTGCAAAAAAAAAAAAAAATTTTCATAATGTTTAGTGCTCACCCCCACCTCCACACTTTTTGAAGAAATTTAATAGAAAGGCTGTGAATGTTTGGTTTTAGAGGCAATGGAAAAATATGTTGGACAGATCCCAAATTAGGGGATAGACAAGATCCATCTCTGTCTATTATGACTGAAAGTTATTCAAAACAAATCTCTCATATCAAAACATGTTTATTGAACGGCCAATGATTTTGCCTTGGATTTTTTTTTTAATAGAATTAATGAATATTTTAGTCTTTGTTCTCAGGAGCTGAGTAGTTTATCACTAAAAATGTAGTTGAACCCAAAGTTCTTTTAAATGGCAGTGCCTCTGTTACAGCTGGAGAATGCTCTGGCTTTATTTTTATTTAAAACTTCTAAAAGTAGATGAGGAATAGCAGAAAAGGGACAGGAGTGAATATAGGCAAGTTTTTTAAGGTTGTAAACATAACAGCTAATATTTACTGGATACCTATTATATGCAGGTTTATAAGGATTGTCCCTTTTATTCAAAACAAGAACCCTATAAGGTAGAATTCCATGATAAACCCCAGTAGTCAGATGAGAGTGAAATTAAGAAAGACTAAGCAATGTGTCCGATCAGATCTATACAACTCTAGAGCAGGAGTTGGCACACCCTTCTGTAAAGGGCCAGATGGTGAGTATTTGGGGCTTTGTACAGTCTCTGTCTCTCTGTAGCAACTACTCAGCTCTGTTGTTGCTTCATGAAAGTGGCTCTAAATGCCAGTGTAAATGAATGGGCATGTCTGTGTTTCAGTAGGACTTTACAGAAAAAGGTCATCTGGATTTGACAGGTAGGCCTAATCTCTGTGAATGTTGTTTCTTTTTATCAGGTGAAACAGTGTTTTAAATTGTGAGGCACAATTGTTTTTAAAAATAAATGTATTTGGAGTCTTGCAGAGAAAATTCTAACCAAGTTAAAGCTATCTAAAATATAAATCCACTCATTCAGCAAATACCTGCCGAGTGGCAACTGTTGGGACGTTGGTAATACAGTGATGTCTTAGATGGAGTGTACAGGGGGAAAAAGACAAGTAAATAGACAACTATTGTTTTAATAGACTGTGACAAGCACTATATGGTAGGGGCAGTAATTACGGTCCCCAGGGAACATAGAAGAAGGGCAACTAACCTGGCCTGGGGAATTGGGGTCTTCTGGCAAAATGGTCCAATAATAGAGCGCCAACTCTATGCTCCCACCACTCAGCTCCATTCTCCAGGAGCGAAGGTTATTTGAATAAAACAGCTGGAGCATGGCTTTAGCTTGCTGCGGTCTCAGGCTCTTCAGAGTATAAATATCCCATGCATTAGGGCTTGACATTATCACCTGAAGGTAAAAGGAAGCCCCAGTTAATTTTTAAGGATCTTAGTTTTCTCTAATGCTGCCTTGAACCCTGACCCTGAGAAGCCTTTGTGCTCACTCTCAGTTGTTGTTCACTTCCCCAGAGAATAGCACATAAGCCAAATGGGCAACTGTGGATTGGCCTGCCAGTGGTTCCTGACTGTCTATGAGATGTGTGTGTGTGTGTGTGTGTGCGTGCGTGCGTGTGTGTGTGTGTGTGTGTGTGTGTGCGTTCGTGTAGGGGGGGGGGGGAGGGAGAGCTCAGTCATGTCCAAATCTTTGTAGTCCGCCAGGCTCCTCTGTCTATGGAATTTTCCAGGCAAGAATACTGGATTGGGTTGCCATTTCCTTCTCCAGGTAATCTTCCTGACCTAGGGATTGAACCACATTTCTTGAGTCTCCTGCATTGGCAGGTAGACTCTTTACCACTGCACCACCTGGGAAGCCCATCTACGAGATATTAATACTCACTTGAAATAAACTTCAAGGGCCCTAAAGACTGTTACTTAGAAGGTCTTGGTTCAGTGTCTGAGAATCCAGTCTTTGAACAAGCGCCACAAGTGATTCTGATGTGCATGAACTATGTTTGGAAACTGCTGGTCAGGCGGATTTCTAAAGTTTCTCTTAACCTTTCCAGCCAGCTAGTCTGTGTTTATTGCCATGACTACACTTACAAACATCCTACCAAGAAGGAAGGAAAATTCTAACTGGTTTTGGGGATGTTTACCACTGTTTCTACCTTCCCATCACTGCCATATAGGGACAATGGTTTGTGTGATAGGTTGTTGTGTGGGAGTCAACTTTGTTGCCCTGATATGCTGAAGAATGGCCAGGAGTTCCTCTTTGTTAGGTTACAGAGAAAATGTGAATCTTGGATGTAGCATGCCTACATGCTTATTTCAGGCATGCTTTACATAGTGAATGAGCAGCACCTATGTTTTAATCAAACCCAGCAAGGCACAAGAAAGGTTCTTCCTGCCTCCAGGTTCTAGACAGGTCCAGATTAGAGGTCTTGTTAATAGCATCCAAATTGGTTTAATGTTCCACAGGGTCAATGAGTGCCAGTTGGCAAAAGTTAAAAGCAGGGGAACGAAAAGGGTAAAGGAGAAGGAACATACAAGAAGGGGAGTGTTAGAAGGCAGTGAGAAAGAAAAGCAATGTTGGAGTGGCAGAAAGTCTTTTATTTCCTGATTCTGCTTTAAACATTAGTCCAAATATTGAGTTTGGGGTTTTCTGGTACTCCAAAGACTTGGGATTCCAAGCTTCCTTTTTAAATTAGAGCATTTGGGTAGAAACAAAGCCACAAGCCCAGCAGGAGGGTTTTCAACCTAAAAAAATTTCTAGAAGACATCCTGTACATTAAATACTTAACATAGGTCTCTTCAGAGCGTATAGGGAAGATAGCATCTTGTTAGACTGTTTACATAGTGAATATATAATCTCATAAGGACAAGCTTATAAAGGCATCAAGTGATCACATTAAGCTCTAATTGTTCATGTGTAGAGCTAATTTTAAACATTTTTAAACATAAAAGTATTAGAAATTCATAAGTCTGAATTCTACATTGTCATTGTAGTTCCTATTATTGATGTATTTGAAAAAACCGGTATGCTTTTCAGCTTCTTTTCTGTAATATTTGTCAAGTTGCTCCTGGACATTGTAAAAAGCCAACTAACTTTAATGAATAATTGTCTTAAGAGTCTTAGCTATGGCCCCCAAATTGTTGTTATTGTGGCCTTTTTGAATACGAAAAACGAAAACAGACATGCTTTCATCCGGTTTTGACACAGCAGGAACTTTCCCAAATAGTCAACTCTTAATTTTCCATGCTTTGGAGCAGCGTGCAGTTTTTCATCTCACTCTGGAATGTGTTTTTATTCTAACATTTGAATAGGGATGTTTCTAGAATTCTGGGAATTCACTGGACTTTAAGTAAAATAATGTTGCCCTTCTGGGAAGATCCAACTCTGAAGAAACCGGAGAGCAAGCCAACTTCTCATTCTTAAAGATGAGTTAAATATGCAGGGGAAGGGAGTAATGTCACAATGAAACTGAAAGGCAGATTTGTCATGGATTTAGGGCATCAACATTTGACTGTACTGAATGAGACAATTCAGACCTTGTTTTTCCTCAGATTACTGAGGAAATGACTGCTCAAAGTGGAAGAAAATGCTAATTTTGACTACAATTTTAAACAATTAATATAGTTTTTTTTAAAGTACCAATTATTTATGTAGGCACTAGGTAGATCAAATTCAGCATTTGATTCGGTCTTGTGGGGGCAGAGGGGCTTCCCCAGGGGCTCACCAGTAAAGAATCTGCCTGAAGAGCAAGAGCCGCAGA